ACATCACCATTGTTCTCATCATAATTAGGGTTACGATAGCTTAAATCATCAAATTGAGATTGAATTCTAGGATAAAATGACTGGTCTCTCTGTAAAGGTGGTCTCTGATAAGAGGTACCTTCCCAACGTCTTTGTTGTGTCTCTTGGTGTTCGGAATTATCCCTGAAATTGGTATTATTAGTACGCGGTATAAATTCTTGAGCGCAAGGATCATATCTATTAGTCGGATCATGGCAAAAGGGATTCGAACCTGGACCTGGGGTAGGCCTGAGGTGTACAGATGACTGTTTCAGGTCTTTCAATTCATTGATAACACTCTTGAGAACTGAGGTTACTTCACTAAAAAATGCTGGTGCACAATCAGGTTCTCTCATACTAGGACTACATTCAGTTATTGAGGTTTCTGACTGCAAGTGGTTGCTTACCACAGGGGGTACATCATTGGATGAATCATTTCCAATATGATCATATGATTGGTCATTGTTACCATCACTTTGGACCTCTCTAAAGGTTATTACACCTTCGCTATCTACTGCTCTTGGTTCTGACATACTGGTATTATAATAATATCTTTTTTTTATATCTGTCCGCTAAAGAAGGGTTTTTATGTTATCACACATAAAATAGTTGTCCGCTATGGAAGAGTAGATTCTATCACAGGATCTGACAGGATGTTAAATATCAGATCCCACCGCTGCCACCATTAAATGTCACGGTCTAGGCCGTGAGGTAAAAACCTTCGGTAGTGTGGTCTCTCAGTAGAGGTTTATTAATTTAGTCTGTAAAGGGAGTTGGTTGGTTCCACACAGTTTACAGTGATTATCATTCTATATCTACTTTGCTCATTCTGTTACTTATGACTTTAACAGAACACTATCTCTACATAGATAAATAAATTCTCTGTAAGATTTAAACACTGTTTATTCCAGTAGTATTATTCCAGTAGTACAGTAAATTGCAAGTTTATTTGGTTATAACAATGTTACAATAACAAAATAATAAATTGTCAACACATGAGCACAATTGTATTTTTATCATTCAGCAACAGATTCAATACGATAATGTAAATAAGTAAAAGTTTGCAATAGAAATCATCAGAGTTTCAAGTCCTATTAATGTTAAAACCGTTTTCTAAATTATATCTCCCTTAATTTAATGTATCTTAATGTCTAACGCGTGTACCTTCTTTAATAGTCAACACGGAAAAATCGCGTACCAGTGATCCGTGACCAAATTTAACAAGCAGTTAAATAATCTATTTCAAACAGTAAAGTGTTAATAAAAAACGTGTAATAAAGATTAAATATCTAGAAAATAGCTCAGAACTGTTTAATCTGAATAAATAAATCGTTATTTATCAAGAATAGTTTAATTACTTTAGTACGTAAAATTGCAGACGGCACTTATAAATTTTCCGCTCAAATTTGTATCTCAACAAAACGGGGTTTTGCCTCTGAAGTTCTGGTCAAGACTGAGCTGTTCAACCAAAAATCCGGGCCCTTTTATACCCAGACAAATCCCAACCACAATAAATTGGTTGAAGTGGTTGGTTTACAAAAGTGGTTGTGGTTGGAGCCAAAAATTGGTTGGTCCGACCAAGAAATATTGGTTGATTTACCAAAACGGTTAGAAATTTAAACATAGACTCTTAGACCTATGAAATAATAAAAATGGACATAGAACATTTTGTTACAAATATTATGGCATTTTCTTAAACAAGTTATACCTTTTCAATGAAGAAAATACACAAAAATCCGATCGCAGAATTTCGTCAATAAATTAGCTGTAGCCGGTCGTCCCTAGTAACGTACCGGAAACAGTTCAAAATGGCATCTTCAAGTGAAAGTGGAAGCACGTTTTTCTAAGAAAACGGATCATAACTACAAAAATACATGGAATTAAACATTGTTACTTGGCAAAACAGTGACTTAAATAATTTACAAACAATAACAATAGGATTTATAATCACAGGTAACAAGTGAAAGTGACAATTTCCCTCAGAAGTTAGATTGAGCTGCACATCGTAATAATGAAGGATAAACAAGGAAAACATGTTGGATAAAATAGGATAGATTAAATCTGGCTCATAACCCGTATACATGGGTTGGTGTTTTGATTTCTAGTAAAACACAGCTCATTATAAGTTTTATGGCTAGAAAATGTCAACATATCCTCACTATTAAAGATTAGAAGAAAAGTAATTTCTCAAGTTCAAGTCAATTAAGGTAAGGAGTTGAGTTCATGTAGTTCAGTTATGTTACAGTTATAGTTGAAAATTTCAGATCACTACAATATAGGGTTTGATGGTCTTGTTTTTTTAGCTCACCTGTCACAAAGTGACCGGGTGAGCTTTTGTGATCGCTTTTCGTCCGTCCGTCCGTCCGTCCGTAAACTTTTGCTTTAAATGACATCTCCTCATAACCCACTGAGCCAATTTCATCCAAACTTCACAGGAATGTTCCTTTGGTGGTCACCTTTAAAAATTGTTCAAAGAATTTAATTCCATGCAGAACTCTGGTTGCCATGGCAACCAAAAGAAAAAACTTTAAATATCTTCTTTTAAAAAACCCAAAGAGCTAGAGCTTAGATATTTGGCATGAAACATCTTCTAGTGAGTGTCTACCAAGTTTGTTCAAATAAAAGCCCTGGGGTCAAAATTGGCCCCGCCCCTGGGGGTCATTGATTTTCCCTATATGCATATAGTAAAAACTTAAAAAATCTTCTTTTAAAGAACCGTAAGAGCTAGAGCTTAGATATTTGGCATGAAACATCTTCTAGTGAATTTCTACCAAGTTTGTTCAAATAAAAGCCCTGGGGTCAAAATTGGCCCCGCCCCAGGGGGTCATTGATTTTCCCTATATGCATATAGTAAAAACTTAAAAAATCTTCTTTTAAAGAACCCAAAGAGCTAGAGCTGAGATATTAAGCATGAAACATCTTCTAGTGTGTGTCTACCAAGTTTGTTCAAATTAAAGCCCTGGGGTCAAAATTGGTCCCGCCCCGGGGGTCATTGATTTTCCCATTATGCATATAGTAAAAACTTAAAAAATCTTCTTTTAAAGAACCATAAGAGCTAGAGCTTAGATATTTGGCATGAAACATCTTCTAGTGAATGTCTACCAAGTTTGTTCAAATTAAAGCCCTGGGGTCAAAATTGGCCCCGCCCCGGGGGTCATTGATTTTCCGTATATGCATATGGTAAAAACTTAAAAAATCTTCTTTTAAAGAACCATAAGAGCTAGAGCTTAGATATTTGGCATGAAACATCTTCTAGTGAATGTCTACCAAGTTTGTTCAAATAAAAGCCCTGGGGTCAAAATTGACCCTGCCCCAGGGGGTCATAGAGTTTCCCTATATGCATATAGTAAAAACTTTAAAAAATCTTCTTTTAAAGAACCCAAAGAGCTAGAGCTAAGATATTTAGCGTGAAACATCTTCTAATGAGTGTCTACCAAGTTTGTTCAAATAAAAGCTCTGGGGTCAAAATTGGCCCCGCCCCAGGGGGTCATTGATTTTCCCTATATGCATATGGTAAAAACTTAAAAAATCTTCTTTTAAAGAACTCAAAGAGCTAGAGCTAAGATATTTAGCATGAAACATGTTCTAATGGGTGTCTACCAAGTATGTTCAAATAAAAGCCCTGGGGTCAAAACTGGCCCCGCCCGGGGTGGGGGGGGTCATTGATTTTCCTTATATGTGTATAGCAAAAACTTAAAAATCTTCTTTGGAAAAACCCAAATAGCTAGAGTTTAATATTAAGCATGAAACATCTTTAACTAAATATCTTTAAAGTTTGTTAAAGTAAACGCCCGGTGGTCAAAACTGGCCCTGCCCCAGGGGTGTCATTGTTTTTAACTATATGTGTATAGTAAAAACTTTAAAAATCTTCTTTTAAAAAAGCCAATGAGCTAGAACTTAGATGTTTAGCATGAAACATCTTCTTATGGGTGTCTACCAAGTCTGTTCAAATAAACAAATAAAAGCCCTTGGGTAAAAATTGGCCCGGGGATGGGGGGGGGGGCCTATATACAGGTGAGCGACCTCAGGGCCATCATGGCCCTCTTGTTTAATAATTTACCCTTGAATCTTTTTTTACTTGTATTTTAAAAAGGGAAGTACCAGCTATCTGAACTCTAGCACAGATGCATTATGCCCCATTTCTCTGTTTGTACCTTCTGCATTTGTGGAATATACAGAAGTTTTTAGTGTAATTTACATTCTATATATGCCATATGGCTGATATCAAACAGACCCTTTTGTGATAATTATTGTCTTTGTGTTGACACTATTCGTTGAAAGAATGCGTTTACACTATTCGTTGAAAGATTCTAATTGCAATGAATTTTATTTCACAATGTTTTAACTTGACAATTAATGCCATATTTTTAATAGAAAGGGCAGCACCTTGAGACATTCCTGTATGGATTTGAGAGAAGTACAGAGCCTCCAAAACCTCGACCTGGGTAATAATTTCCGTCATTTCATTTTATTGTTTTCAATACAGATTTGTGTTTATTCAATTAAATCCTTTATACTGTTTTCAATTCAGATTTTTTTCATCCCATATTATGTAATCTAACTAATCTTGATCCTTTTGGATACTTAATTTTGTGATTTTTGGTATCAAAGTTCTTTTAATTTACAATCTTATGTGCGGTTTAAGTTTAAAAGCTGGAGTTAATTTTTAGAATTTAGCATGATAGTCATCAGACACATCTGAAAATCAACCACAAAAATTCAGCAAGTTCATAATAAGTAATTTTTTGTCTTGTTTACATTTAGGAAACAAGAAAGGAGAGATTCCGGAGCATCATTATTGTCAAATTCGAGTCTTAAGGTGAGATTTTCTTTACTTATATTTTCTTTCGTGTCCAATGTATCCGCAAGTATGTTCACCAGTCTTGTCACATTATTCAAATGCTTTATTATAAACTGAACTGTCATTGTGAACTGCCTCTGGTCTCGATTTATTTCTGATGTGAAATAGGAAATAAAAAATGAGGGAATGTGTTTTTGATTGTCAGCTAAGAAGCTTTCCAGCTAACTTTCGGAAAGTTGAGTTTCCGATTTTTGCTGAACTTGTACAAATCTTGATCTTTAGCTTAGACCTCTAAAGTTAGAAAGTTACTGTATAACTTTTTCAGTTAGATTATGTAATTTTTTTTTCAGTTATGCCAGACAATGTTTGAGAACAACGCTAATGGTATAGATAGGCGTGACCATGTGGACGGTGACTTGTTGGTAGAAAAATCAGAGGTGGAAGGAATTTATGACTCCTTGATTTACATAGGTACACGTTTTAAGAGTTTTACTTTAAATTTTGAAAATCAAATGTATATTTTCTTTTAAATCCCTTCAGTGTTAAGCTGTTTCTATCAAGGTACATGTAGGTAAAGTGGGGTCTTCATTCACAGGTAAAAGTAAAAATTAACTAAGCATCAAAAATTGTAAACTAATTGTGACATTTTCCAACCATTTGAACTAACATTTTGTCTTTAAGAGAGTTTACTTACATTTCAGCAAGGTATGTTTATAGAGTTCCGGACTGGTGCCATCAATTGTTGTACACTGCACGTATGTTTGTGAAACAAACTTTAGAAGCATATTTAGACTGGTACACAGACTATAAAGTTCACATGGTCACACGGGAACACAGGCTGGTCTCACTTATTCACCTACTTAGAGGTAATCAGTTTACCATCTATTGTTTTGCAACTCGAAACACGAAAATAATGTTTATTAAACTTTACTAGAGAGATGTTCATTACTTTGTATCGTTTGCCCCATAATCCAGTCGGATATTTTTATTACTTGCATGTCAGAAAGCTAACTGGAATTTTATTGAAACTCTATCATTCATTCTTTTTATATGCCTGCTTGTTGCACAAATGACAAGCTATTGTTTGATTAATATCAATGAATCTTGAAAGTTACCAATTGACCCTTTAATGTCAAGTGGCAAAATAAGTCACCCCTCTCCAAATTTCTTTTAATCAATCGGCGATTCTGAATCTTTCTCCTTTATGATTCGAGAAACTTATTTTTGTATAAAATATTGTATTAAAATTTTGTGAATACACGAAGCTCTTTTACAAATACAATATCCTCAGTTTTAAAACTTTCGTCATATGAATAAACAAACAAAAAGCAATATTCTGATTTGCTCTTTTGCTTATTATTTTCAGATGTGCTTTTCTTCGACAATGACCCACCGAGGTAAAGAGACTTTTTTATATTACTTTATAATAGAAAATGATCTGGTTTACATTTAATAAATCTTGTGCATAAATGCTGTGTTTGGTGATTTTCTGTCCCCGTGAAGTGCAGGCAACATAAGACCATGCTAAAATGAAAAATAACTTTATTTTGAAGGAGGTAACTGCTAGCATCCATCCTTTTTGTTTGGACTTATTATTAGAAGCTTCATTTTCAAAATATTACGTAGCTTATAGATTCTGATTACTGACATAGGAAGTTCTGTATGAAACACTCAAACCAACACATCAAATGGTAATGTCATTGAGCTGCACTAAATTGCAATTTTTATCCTTTTAAAATTAACTTAATCAGTTTTTATTTTTCAACAAATAAATTTGTTAACCAGATTTTAAAATATGGCAACTAGAGTTTGGGTGAAAATTAAACAAAAATAAGCAAGAGTTACACACCAAAACGCAAACACACCATCAAAGGCTCTAACTAGAAAAAAAAGTATATTTCTAAGCTAAAAATGAAAATGATATTTTTGATGATAATGGAATATACAATATTTGTATATTTAGGACAGACGATGATAAAAGAAAACGTTTCCAAGAAGTGACGACTGGCTGCCTGAACTTCCTGCCAAGTATGTAACAATGTTACAACTACTTAAGTTTTAAATAAGTGTTCTTATGTTAAATGATATGTGAAATGGCGGTGAGAGACAAACGACCCATAGGCTAAAATGTCAAAGTTCAATGATTACGGAGAAACTTTCGCATTGCCTTGCCTTCACCCAAGGTTGAGATAGCGTTTTCTAGATTGCCCGACACAACTAAATTACAAACTTCAAAATAAAATTGTCTTACTGATTTTATGTAAAATGAGTAATTACAACAGATGAAGAATTTTTTTAAAAATTTCATAGCATGGTGAACGTATCATAGTCATGCAATCTTATTATTTTTGTAACATGGACATGATAAGTGTGGAATTGTTCATGTTTTTATCTTTCTTATTTCAAGAAAAGGATTTCGTACTCACCCTTGCATTAGTGTTTGTGTTTAGGTAGTTTTGGAAGTAATCTGTTCGTAATTTTTTGTGCTCTTGTTGCAAACCTTCATAATTATATTTTCATTACAGAACCAGCGGTATGGGTGATAGGTGAGACTCCACATAGAGAGGGAACTTTAATGATTCTACATGCTTTACAACAACCTAAACTTAACAAACAGGTATATACAGGGCAAACACTTACCTGTACAATATTTGATATTCTTAACTGTTTAATTACATTTAAAGTTGTTATCTGCATTTGGGATTAAAAAGCTTACGAATTTGATTAATATCAATTAAGATTTGTTTATTTATTACTCTGTAATTCATTTAACTAATACGTGTGCATATAATATCATATATTTAACTTAAGTTTAGTCTATTTTGCAACTTTCTAAAATAATAACCAATGAAGACATATTTTGCATGTAATACCATGTATTAAAAAGATCATTACTGTTACTATTGTATAAAAATTGTTTGTTTAAGAATACATGAGTGTATTGTTACATTTTATTTTTTCAGCTCAGTTACGTGTTCCTAGATATATTCATCACAGAATTGTTTCCAGAGTTAAAGCAGTGATCAACTTTAGTGAAAACATGATATCATCAGCAAGAAATCGTTAAATATAGAACAATAATGTTTTGCTTAACTCAATATTTATATTGTTCTGTTTTTGATACCTAATTTTAAGGTTACAATCAAAATTTGAAAGTGGGAACAAACAATGATTCATAATGTACAAATCATTCCTATTTGCCCGTATATGCTTAAATCCATAGTCTGCTGGAACCTAAAATTATAAACATTTGCCACCAGTATAAGGCTAGACCAACCTTCTCATTCTTGAAGACTAACTAGCATCTATACTAATGACAGACTAACTTTTAATATTCACTTTTGTATCTCAAAATTGAGAATGGACAGTTTTCAAAGTGAAATGTAAGAAATTTAGCAGGTTAAAGGGTAACTAGCCTCCGAGTCTGAGTGGTGAATGGCTACCTAACATCGATCCTCTACTCTTTCAGTGCAATTTCCTTGCTAAAACTGTTTAAATCAGTATTATATCAGAGGTTTATCACAATTTTGTTATAACTTGTATATGTTATGTCAAATATTTAATATTGTCATTTATATGTATTGGATGTTTGTCTGTTTGGGTAGATTATAGATCCACTGTTATAATCAACTGTGTTGTTTGAAGGTATGTGCAGGAATAGAAAGAAGTGTCTATTTTGTTCCGTAATCAAATACGAGTAAATACCATGTAAAAATATTTAGATGTAGTAATTATGACGTGCAATATAACATTACATGCTGTGATAAATTATGTATTGAAATGAAAAATATTGTAATTTGATAGACAGTAAGACTTGAATTCCTATCATAGACACAATTAGAGAAAAAATACAATAGTCGAGGTATTGTCACTGAAGTGCTTTTTATCGCGCTTAACCACAGTGGTTTTGAAAACTAATATAGTTTGACAAGGACATAAAATTGAAAGTTTGTAAAAGGCCATAAGTTTTGAATAAGCGTAACGAATACCTAAAAGCAAAATTGCTTTATCCAAAAGTAAAATATAAATAACTTCAAAAGAATTTTGATCATTAAGTCGTTTGATAATTTTCCTCTTATATAAGGATTAATTGCACTATTCACTCTATAGACAAAATATTTTCAATCTTTGTTCGAGTATAATGTATTCATAAAGTTTTCATTTTTAATGGTTACATATGAAACAAACATTTAACAAATTTAATGATAATTTTAATCAAGGAATTATTTGTGTTAAACATTTACAATCGCTTTTAGAAAAAATATTATTCTAAAACTTTAAAAATATCTCTAAACAAATTATTTTTCACAAAATTATTTGTTGCCCTTCATTGATGAATTGATGCTTAACTGTTCATTTTTAGCTTGACTAGGGAGGAATATTGTAGTCGCCCCGGCGTCGGCGACGCACTAAGTTAAAGATTTTGCGTGCAAGTTTGTAACTCCAAAATACACAATAACTTCAGACACTTACTTGAGAGCTAAATATGATGTTATTTTATCTATACAAGACCCATAACCAAAGCATATAATTTGACAGAAATATTGCCCTTTTTTAAATTGCACGTTATCCAGTCACTGGGAATGGTCGGGCACTCGGTCATCAGATAACTATTATTACTTTGAAATATCTGGAAATTTTATAAGCTAAAACTTCTAGCTATTATGATTGCTGCGGAGTCATTGTCATCTTTGTCGTTGTCATTATCACGGTGTCTTATGTTGCCCATTATTCAAACATCTCAACATGAAACTTGGAATACTTGCTCATCATGACATGTGCAGTCGTTAGACAAGGAAAAAAGTCTGAATATATTTGGATTTATGTCCTTTTTTTTTGCAAAATTCTTGAGGTGAAATATTTTTATGAATTATGTCCATTTTTAACTTATACATGAATACAACTGGATTTTGAAAATTATTGCGCAAACACCACATGGGGTACACTTGTTACAAGAATGCGATTGATATTTATAAAAAAAAATGTGAATGGCTTTTTGTATTAAGTTTAATGTTCAATGTGTTATTTATGAAATAAAACTCAAACAAATATTAATGTTTTTGTTGTTATTAATTTGAAATCAGACTGTAACCAATGTTTCCAAGATGGTTTTATTTTTTCTTCAACGTGTATCCTTGTGACCCTTGGAATCTCCTACTTGATTTAGAAAATAACAAAGAAAATGATGATAAAGTGTTGGTTGCTAGGAAAATCAGAAGTCATGCCTGAAGATATGGTTATGTTTTATATAAAACTTTGTTATTTTTGGATGGATTGGAAAATAAACATCCATAGATATGCAGCTTATTATGACGACATGCAAGTTCATTGATGCTCATGTCTGGTCTTCATTTCTGTCATGCATAATATTAAAGCTAACCTTTCAGGTACATTAAGAAGACTTGTTATGAGCAACAGCTAGATGTGGAGGCTACACTTGGATGTAAAAATAGTACATAGATAGTTGTATCTCGTCATATCTATGTCAATCATTCATGGATGCTTTTTGAAATAATTAGGCATACTGAGTATATAAGAAAATGTTTGATAAGGATTCTTTATTGTTGTTACATTTCTTGTTATAGTAATAATGCCTTGGTTTTGAGTCAAAGCTTAGGGTTCCTTTAATGGGCCCTGTTTTGGGGGCATTGTCTGTATCAAGCAACAAATATTGTCATTAACTGTTTTGTTATATATGCATGTTGGATAATTGTTATTTACAAAGTTAATTACAATTGATATTATTTTGATTACCTGGAAAGGTATTTAAAAATTTTGATAATATCTACATAAGAAGCTTGACATTTTTATGTCAAAATCAAGGGCATCTGGCCTTACAATGATGATGCAAGCTGATACCATTTACATATAGGGAAATAATAAACAAATTTAAATAAGAAATAGATGTAACAACACAAATGATTTATTGTTAAAATGCTGTCATTGCTTTATGCAAATTTGAAAGGTTGTTGTACAATAAGGCCACCAGGTCATACACGTATCACAAAATATATAACAATCATGTGATGCAATAACATTATATGAAACATTACAGAAAATAGACTTATCAATATACAAATTTTTTATCTATATACAAAATTTTGAAGATATATTCCCCAATACAATACCTATTTAGATTCATATTCTAGAGTTTAGTTAACATTTCTAAAATATCTTAACATTAGATATATATTACCAATGATAAGAAATATCTATGCAGCTCAAAAAAGCTTTTTGAAATTTCATTTAAATTACACGCAAACAGTTCGGACTTTGTGAGAAATCATTTGGGGAATAAAAAAATGTTAATATTTGGATAGTATTTCGTTTCTCATGTTTACTGTAAATGAATGGACAATGCAATTCATCTATAAAATATGTTACTGACATGGTATATGGGGGACATAACCTCCATTGATCAATATATGCACTAAGCTAACACTTTTCGTTATATAAATCTCATTCTTGTTACATTCTCCTGTATATTTGATCAGCAACCGATAGAAAATACACAGAAAAAATAAGCCCGTACGATTATATATTTTATCAGTAAGACGAGCTCAACTGAAACAAGAATTACATTTATAACTAAACTTTTCATGTTATATGTGTGTTTTTGTCAATTTTCTTGCCAATTAGTAAACTGGATAGAAGCCGGCATATATGAATTTTTGCCACGTTGTTTCTTGCTCTTTGTCGCAAAGAAAGCAGGTAACATTTTAATGCCTGTTTTGGTCTGTTTTCTTGTTCCATACATTGCCCTAAAATATTGAGTGCTGTTTCTTTATGTCCAAGGTATTTGTTTATTTCTATAATGTTTGCAAGTTTACTTAGTGCTTGTCGTTGATCCGTGATACCGTTGAAGATGCCTGTATACTTTATATTGTAGGAAGTACAGAAAGGAAGAGAATCAATTGTAAGCCAAGTCCATCCAGTCTTCATTTTGATCTCTGTGTTTATGTCATCCTCTGTAGATCTGAACATTTCATATTGTAGTTCATGAGGAACACAGTTGATCTCTTGTTTTAAAAATCTGACACAAAATGCTGTAATATTTTTGACACAGTCCTCAATTTGTTCAAAACATACCGTTTTAATTTCTGGTGGAGGCATCATATCCCAGCAGTTACACATAGGAAAAACAGGATAAGAGTAAAACTGGCTTTCAGTGTTCCTCAAAATAAGTTCAGTTTTCTCTATATCCCCTGAACTGTAGAATACTGAAGCCAATTTCAGTCTGCCAGATGAGATATCTGATTCAACACCATAAGAAAGCCAAGCCAAGGCTTGAGGTGACACTTGATGTTTTAAACCTATACTTTCTGAAGCCAGGGCAGATCCATATGTGGAACAGAGAAAAGGTGCTTGGAACGTGAATGCAGCATGTTCTAAATTATTATCTTTGTCGTTGAAGGTCATTAATCTTTCTACAGTTTGCTTCATTATTCCAATATCTTTATTGCTTAATCTATTCAAATAAAAACGATGGGTAATACTACAATACATTGATAATGATAAGTAATAGGTAGCAGAAACAGTTTTACAAATATCCAGTGAAGTGTCTAAATTATAATGTCCTTCTGGTAGAAATTTCAGTTTAACTTGAAGTCTCTCTCCAAGATCATCAATATTGTTTGTAAGTAAACTTTGTACATCATCCTGTATAAAGTCACTTATATTTTTTAAAAAGTTGATGTTTTGTCTCATCTGTAAACTGCCCTGCCATCAAATTGTTTTTCTGGTATAATGAAATGTGGCAGAGATTTTCATTCTGTACACAAATGCTTAGTTTCATCAAGCAGTATTTTAAAACATTCTAAAATAAATTGTTCTCTTTCCAAATGCTTTGCTCTTTTTTGTTCTATACAGTGAAATAGAATTGTTTTTGCACATGAAACTTGAGATGTTTATTTCCCCATGAGGATTTTTAAAAGAGATTTAAGAATAATCTTCATTAAAACATAGGCATTTTATGTGTGTTTATATCTAAATCAAACATTAGACATCTTTCTGCCAGGGATGTAGATATTCTCCATTCCAGTTCAGGATATTTACTGATCTTACTTCCAGTTGGAACACAAAAAACACCAGGTACTTGCTGCATATCTTCTCATCTCTTGTGTTGGCCATTTGCCAATGCCTTGTCTCTCTAACCATCCTGATGCTGTTGACTTTGGCCATGATTTAAAGGGATATGCAAACACTTTGTCTGCATCATAGTCTCCTTGTTGTCCCTGGTGTAGCAAATGATGGTCCATGTTGTGTAGTATATTTAATATTATCAGTTCTATATACTTTGTTCTTACGCAATATTCTTCCTATCCTATCAGTTATATGGTATTTATCAGGAACAACAGTGGCAGGAACAGGTTTATCATGTTGGAGAAGCTGTAGAAAACAGTACCCAGGGGAAGTGTTCTCATCTTGTATCATGAAGTAGTTTGTTTTGCCATGTTCCCACTCTGACCAGTCATGTATTACATTGTAATCATTCTTATAAATTAGCTCGTCAGTGTCTGATTTTAGTCCTATTGTAGTTGTTCCCTCAATCTTACTCCCTAGATAATATGAAATTATATTGTGTCCAACTGACTTCCATGTGATATTAGTCATAGTTTCCATCAACTTGAAATGTTTTCTTGCTCTCATTATCATTCTTTCATTCACGCCAATATCATCTAAAACCTCTGATAACATCAGTGATATATGTTTCCTGCTTTCAGGTGATTGAAACATTCTGTAATTTAAGGAAAGGAAAAGTTGTAAAAAAATAACAACTCAGTTTCTTTTGTTAAATACTTCTACTTTTTCCATTGTTTTGTCCTTTATGCCTAGAACAGAACTGAACAGGAGATCCTTCGTGAGGCTGTGAAATTTTAATTGCCTAATAAAGTTAAAGTGAATAATATCATTTGATAAGTACATACTAGTATTTAGTTCAGTTTAGTTCAGTGTTTTAGCAATCAGCCAAACATTTTTTGACCATTTACAATATTATCATCTTATTGCAAAGACAGTAAGTGCAATGTAAACAGATACCGTAAAATTCTTATTAATCGCCCCCAGGGGCTAAACTTTTCCAAACGAAAAAAGACCTTTTTGAAAACTATTTACAAATATGTGCTATTCAAAGTTTTTAAAACAGAAATCCCTTTTCCTTATACCACCTTGTTGCTTTGTTAATTGAAATATAAAAATAAATAAAAGATAAGGTTTCAATTAAACTCGAAAATGTCTGGTTTTTTGGTAATAACATAATGAACATGATATGTTAAAAATGCGTAATTTAGCAACATTAGAAAAAAAAGGCATGATTTGATTTAAAAGTTTTATATTTTCAAAAAGTGTTGACGAAACCTGCTATGAAAGGCAGTCAACATTTGTACATTTTTTTCACTGCCGGGACACCATTTGATTTTGGCTAAGACATCAAAATAGGTAAGTTGTGTAAGTCTGTTGGATAAGTTAGTTGTGTAAACATGTGTGCATATACATATTACTGTTTCAAATATGATTTGTTTTTATTTAACATGTTTTGTTCGATTAGGAAGGATATGTTAAAATATGTTAGTTATTGAATATTTTTTATATGTAAATGGGTTTAAAAAGACCCAGACGTCTCTTGGTAACTCTATTTTTTGTGTTTTAATATAAACCCATTACTTCATGGGCATTTTGAAAAAAAATGGCTGTTTTCATTGAAAAGTCTCCCGTTACTAGTTCAAATTGCTATAAAACTACAAAAACTGCTTTAATACTACAAAACTTGGCACAAATGTTGACTGGACCAT